ATATCCTTGACTTAAAGGTTCCGATTGGGGATACCGCCCTCACTTCTTTATCAATTTAGGACAGTAAATACTTATTTGTCCCTTACCCCTCCCATTCACAGGTGTAACAGGCGTCGGGGTTAATAATGTATGTAACACATTGTTTTATAATTGAAAGAAAAGCGTGATAGTTTATTTGAACTAAATCACAAATTTTGTTTTCTATTACCAACCAGTAACAGGTTAGATTTGCATAGTAAAGGTTTTAATTATCATGACAAACGCTAAATTTTTATTGTTTTGTCGACATAAGTGAAATATTTTTATTAAGTGAAGATATTTTTTTCTTCTTCTCTTTTGCGATTTAGAAGAAAAGTTTATGATAAGCACAGATTTTTTTAATATAAATAATAAAGTATTTGATTTTTTTAGTATTTTAGGATTAAAAGAATGAAACTTTAAGTAATTAACACCCATAATTGACATTTAACATACCTGTACATCAAGATCCTAAATCTATTCAAAAGCTATAATTTAATTTGATCAGATAATTTTTTCTGTAATATCTTGTTTTTAAATGTTAAGCATCAATTTCGAACTTCATTTTGAATTAAAAAAATGCCTAAATATTCATTAACTTTTGAAGTGTTTAAAAATAATATAGCTTGTATTTATAATTCAAACAATTTAAATTTTATTACGTTGTTCAATTATTATAATTAAAAATCAGCATTCCATATTTTACAAAAGAAAAATAGTAATATAATTTACAAATATTTTCAAAACAATTCTTAAACAATTTATAATTAAAAAAAATCTGTATTGACTTATTTTGATTTATTTAACAACAAAAATTCGATTCTTTTTTAATACCAAGCTGCTTTCTGCTATACAAGTTATTTCATAGCTTTATATATAATAAATATGTTCAAAATTATTTCGGTAGTTAATATTAATTTACGTTTTCTGTAATTTAACATTCAGAAGCAATAAATCACAATATCTTAGTAATTTAAGTGGTAATTAATAGTTGAAGCTTTAATTATAATATCATACAATAATTTATATCCTACGTTATTATCAGGCATAATTATTATATGTATTAAAATTTCTAAAATTATAATAATAAACATGTCTGAACTGTTTCCATGTTCAACTGCGTTCATTATTTTTTGTGCAATAAAATGAAGTATACCCTAAAGACTAAATTTATTTTTTTTTGTCTTAAAGTGCAATAAATATTTGTTAGAATTGAAACAGATGGGTACAAAACAAGAATGATATTTTAATTAATTGAAATCAGGGAAATAAAATTAGTATTGGAGAAACTACATAAAAGCAGATGTTTCTTCAATAAGTTTCTTTAATAATCTTTTAGTCTTGGTGACAGAATTTACTGAATCAATATGCATCATAATCTTTATACATTTAAATTTGTCTGCGAGTCTAACACAGTCAGACAGCGACGATTATTTTAAAAATCAGATTTAATCTAACATATGTGATTAGCAGAATTAGCTGATATAATGCAGATGAAATGTATACAATATATACAATATATTAAGAAATGTAGTTAAAAATTTAATTTTGTAAATTTTTTATACATTTTTAAATGAGTGATATAATGGAAATTTAAAATCTGCATCTGCTCCAATAATTCTGCAGAACCCGCTGCCGTGCTAAAGGATTTCTGCAAACATTCTCTCAGTTAACTTGAACGTGTTTTATGAACTTGAATATAAAAGCAAAAAGAAATGTTATCTAAGAATAAAATCGAAGTTAGACTGCAATAATTACATTTCATAAATAAAACTAAATATTAAGAATAAAACAAAAAATTTGAAAGCACCGTTTTCAAGTGGGTAAAAAAGAAAGTAATTCATAAAATTTTTGTCTACTTTAAAACAAAAAGACCTAGTCTTTTTCAAAAGATGTGCGGAAGAATTTCGTTTTAAGTTTTTGAATCAAGTTTTCGTTCACGTTTTTCGTTTAAAGTTTTAAAAAGACTTGAAATTTTTTTTAAATGTTTATTTGTATTGCGTTATTTAATTCTTTTTAGAATTTGCCTAATATTTCGTTTACGTCAAAAAGGAGTCGATTAGTCGGAGTGGTGATGATTTTTGTTTGCATCATTTAATATGTAATTGCAACTTGCATTGTCTTCAGGCACAAATTCTAGTTGAAATTTGATCTCACTAGTTAGTCGGAAAGTGTTAAATTAAAAATGGTCAATTAGTAACTCTGTCATTTAATGTAAATTATAATCGTTTAGTTTAAAAGTTCTAGTAGTATTTTCGAAAGTGCTTTGACGAAAGAAAGTTATTCATCCAAAGTTTTTTTGAGGTACGAGTATAACTGAAGTGTAACATTCGGAACTAAATTTTTAGTTAATTTCCATAAGGAAAATTAGAAATTGCGAAAGTTGGTTTTGAAAAATAAAGATCCATGCCTCTAGAGTATTGAATAATAAAATTTTTAGAAATATCCATGATTCAGAACAAGAAACTTATTTGCTAAATTTTGCGCATATGTTCTTTAAGTGTAATTTTTTGGCATGTGCGCATTTTTATCTTATAAAATATTGATTGAGCCACATAGTTTAACTTCCTATAGCCACAATTTCAACTTTAAGAACCCTATAGTAACGATAAATTCATAACATTAAATTAAAAAAATGGCATCAAATTTATAAAAAAGTATTACATTGATGAAATTTAAAACAAAAATGACAAACTACTAAAATTGCATTTAAACAGCTTTTTATAAAAATATTGCTTTTAATTTAGATCGGAATTGCAACAAAAATCAAATTTAAACAAATAGGAGCTAGGGTTTTTTGTTGACGAAACGGAATTTAAAATCAAAAAATATAAAGCAAATACAATGAAAAAGAGGGTATAAGAATCTCTTCATCGTATGTTTAGTTTGAGAACTCACATCCAGATTTTTAAGAGAACAATGATCTTTTTCAATTGCATTTTTTAATTATGTTGGAATTAATAGTTTCATTAAATGCTTACTGTTAACCTTTTTATTAATTGCACTAAAAGTGCATTCTGAAAAATTATTTAAATAATTCGAATAATGAAAAATATAAAAGTTAATGAGTTCCATTTCTTAAAATATGTTAATTATTATTATGTAAGTATTCTGATTTCTAACTAAACATTTTTTCAATAAAAAATATTTCTGACATCTAAGAGAATTACTTTTAATTTCATCAATTTGTTGTGGCTAGTACTTTCACTATGGAAGTAAAATTAATTATTTTTTATCTTTCCCATTTTTAATTTTGGTTTTCGCTATTCGTTTTTTAATTGATTTTAATAGAATAAAAGAAGATGATAAGAACTATGTTTTAAACTAATGTATTATTATTTTTTGAAACTATATTTTTTCATATAAAAATTATGAAAGTAGAATGCTTACATAAATTTATTTGAAAAATATCACAAAAAAGGGATAAAACTATGTTAAATCATTTATTAATGTTTTAATATTTACATAGTTTTCCTTAATTGAAAAATGTCTTATTTGAAATGCATTTAAAGTTTCATTTAAAAGGACATTGAAAATTTTGTTCTCTTTTAGAAATGTTTTCAAATTTTATTTTATGGCTTAAATAAATAAAGTAATGAAAACTTCCAATTTGCAGCTTGATCAGTTATAAGCACCATTATTGTGTAAGTGTTTTTCATTTTTTTTTATTTACTGGGGTATAAACAAAAGTTATGAAAACGTCTAGTACATTGGCTAATGTCATTTTTCATTATGAAAATCCTTTCACGTTTCTCTTTTTTATTTAGTAGAATAAATAAAGATGAAAAAAAAGCCCAGTATAATTTCTGAATAATATCCTTTTTTAAAATTTTTTACTAGTTTTTATTTAAATTTAAAAAATATGATAATCTCTCTATATTTTATAAACCAAGAGCTCACATCAGCAATGAAAATTTAGTTGTCCAATAGGACTACTTGGATATTTATTTAGTGGTCCAATTACATTTATCCAATTACATACATTACAATCGTTCATCTTAATATGATAGACAATCTTGAGAAAAACTAGAATTTTACAATTACATAAATCATGTTTTGGTACGCATCAAAATTATTAATTACTATCTATAACAACCTACAACTAATCAGATTCATTTGCCCATAATGATAAAAAAAAATAGTAGTTATTAAAATTACGTGTAATGAAGACAACAGAAAAAGTAAGAATTAAAAAAGTATTGTACTAAAAATTAATTATCTAAAAATTATAAAATTTTGAATAAAATCGACTCTAAAAAAAGCGAAAAATATTATTTTATTGATGAACAATTATACTGCCAGTATGTGTATGCAAAGCATAGCAAAATATGTAATTTTGAAATTTCACCACTTAAATTTAAAGAATTTTGTACTCGACACTTTCTGTTATTAAATTTAAATATCTCGCGTAAAGTAATAAAATTTGCGTAAATACATTTTTTAAATGCATGAGCTATTCTTCATTACCATCTTGTAAATTCCAAACGCACTTCAAAGCGACAAACTTCAGCGACATTTGTCGAACATTTGGCGACAAATGTCACCCTATTAGCGTTAACCCTAAACATGATAAACAGAAATACTTATATAACGTTTCATTCGTAATATATGTTAAACCACAATAATCTCAATCATCACCTTGGGTGTTCGAATCATACTGAATTAATTACTTCTATTAATTAAAACTGTCACAATTTTTCTAGCATGACAAATTTGTGTTACTCTGTGACCGAAGGAATTGACATAACTAGAAGCTTCATTAGGACATCTGAAGTTGTTCTAATACATTGCAAATGCAATTTTTTAATTATGGAAGAAGCCCTTTAAGGCTAGGTGCGGTTTCCGATTAAACGCGTGTAATGGATAGTTCGACCCGTTACGGCAACTAAAAGGCGGCTGCTGACCTGCACTTGAAAAAAAGACTCGAAGACGAATAGAAAAAACCGTAGATCACAGCCTTATTTTAAGTTACGTACTCAAGGGTGGTTCTTATTATGATTTGTTAATCGAATCAGCATTTTTTATGCTGATTTTTTTCAAGAAAAATTGAGTATATAAGTTCTTGGGTGATACGTTATGGTTATATTGTTGCTTTTGTGGTTCAATAGATAACTTGTATCATCATGATCGCTAAGGTAAGTTGGATAAGTAATATTGATTTGCCTGGAATACACGACGAAAATAATGCACGGATAAATGATTACAGTCACCGATTTAAATCAAAGATTCTTTCTAGATCGAAATATCTATTTTTTACTTAATCTCGATTAAAAGATAAAAAAAAAATATTTTCCATTTCTTTAGTAATGCAATTTTACTTACATTATATTAGAATAATGTTAAAATATTTATTATTTCGTTTGGGTACATCAAAGTTTTTTCTTCTTTTTTTTCCTCTTTTTTTCCAAAGGAGAATTTATAAACCATTTTTCATATCGATGATGGTGAGAATTGTAATTTTATTTTATTTTACAACCGGCGTTGAGCATTTAGATTCCAATTCTGAGTTTACGATTATCAATTTTCATTTCCGTAGCCTTATAATTTTGATGACAACGCAGATGACAAAGGAATTCCTGGATCAAGCATTGAGCCTTTGAGGAGAACTTTTTGAAGGAATTAACCTGCATTTGAGTTACATGGAGAGGAAAACCACGAAAAACCCCTATAGTTAGCTCGATTGGCAAGGGAATTCCAACCCATGATCCGTCTACTACTGAGGATATTTACTTCAGCTCTGTGATCGGTGCGAACTAGGAATGGAATTTATATCGACCAAACCACCGCTGGGATTCGAACCTGGACAGCCTCATTGGGAGGCGAACTCTCTATTCCCTGAGTCACCGCCTCTTCTTAAATCTCTTTTGGAGCTACGTGCTTCATGACGATTTAAGTTTCGAGAGACTCCTGATTACTACCTACAGAATTTATTACTGATCGAAATACCAACCGCTTTCCGACTAACTAAAGTTCTAAAATTTCTACTCGAGCTCTATGTCGAATGACAATGCAAATTTAATTCGTATTATGTGTAGAGTAAGCAAAAATTATGTCACCGAATAAAACTTATCATCAATCGCGATTTACACTACTTTCCGACTAGGTAGAGTTTTTACAGAACAACTTGAAAAGGACACTATCTCATTACGGAGAGCTAGACAAATTTCAGTATTAAGATCTATTACTGTATACAACCAGTGAAAGTAAGGCTCTAACTTACTTCAAGGCTTCTTCGCACTCGAGGCTTTCAAAGAAACTTTGTCATATATGGCCAACTTTATTTGGAAATTCTACATTTATTTCATTGAGTGAGTTATAAATTCTGAATATTAATTTTTAGGTAATTATCGCAGCAGCTCTTGTAGCTGTGTCATTGGCTCAACATTATGGATACCCAGAACCAGCCCATCATCATGAGGAAGAAAAGTACCCTGTAAGTATATAATTCTATATAAGTATATAAGTCTCTATATAAGTATATAAGTCTATATAAGTATATAAGTAAGTATATAAGTAATATGAATTTTGACATTATTAGTGTCATTTTTAGATTTAACAAAAATTAAAAATAAAGAAAGAAACCATGGAATAAATCTTTATAATGTTCTTATTGCTTTTTTTTTGGTAGACTAAATTCATTTTATGTAGAGTAAAATTTATAAGTTTATCGAACATTTGGAACTTTGTTCTGAATGTAAATTTTATTTTATATAACAGAACTTTTTTTTTTACAGCAAATGGATTTTAAGAGAATATGTATAATTTTAAGAAAATATTATCAAACCATGATTAAAGGATTACCTAGTTATGTAACAAATTTTAGAACCAATTAAGTTTGATACTTGAGAAAGTCTAAAACATTGTTTTAAATATGAATTTTACATTTTTAATAGTATTTTGTGCCAATTTATAGTCCTGATAGGTGAAAGAAAATATATTCTGATTGTGTAGAAATAATTATTATGTTAAACGTAGCAAATGTTGTTATAAAATAAGTTTTGAAAGTTTTGCTAAAAGGTATCCGTCTTATAATTAAAAATTTAACTGATTTTAGCCACTTTTTAATTTGTTTTTTTCTTGTATTATTTTTTGACTATTAAAATGAAAGCAATATTTTAATGCAATATTAACTCTAAATTAAAATATTTTGCTTAAAGGTAATGAATAATAGTTTTAACGATGGTAGAGTTCAAATAATTTTATAGAAGCGAAAAACTATTTAGTGCTTATTTAAAAAATAAAGTAGCACTGTAAATTCTTCGATAAGAATCTGTTTTTTAAATTTATCTAAAGAAAAATTTATGAAAATTCAATTTATATTAAAGGTTATATATCAAATAAAGCTATATTTTTGAAACTTTAAACGTTTATTAACCCTATTACGCAGAATTTTTATTAAATATATTTTTCATACTTTTTTCATAATTTTTCAAAATAAATTAAAAATATTATATTTAGCATTTTAATACTTTATAGGTATGGAATACAACATGAAACACTAGTATCTTTTTCTGCGTCAGAGGCGAAATCTTCCAAACGCAGCTCAATTCTAAACAATAATTTTTCAAATTTGTTCTTACTTAGATCTAAGAGAAACTATTGTTTAAACTTAAAATTTTTTTAATTTGCAAGATCAATTATTGATAAATCTTTAAATATGAATGAAGAGAAAAATTTTCAAGCTACTTTTTTTACATTTTATATCTTAGTACAAATATAATCTCGATAATATATGAGATTTTTCAGTAGCTATTAGACTGTTTATTATAATTAAAAAAATACCAAAATACACTTTTGCTTGTAATTTGAGCGTTAGAAAAAAAATATATAAAGGTCACCATTGTATAATCTACGTCAAAGCGACAACAAAATCACTGCAACTTCAAAATTGCAGAAAAACTAAATTGAGGAGATTAATATATTCGTTTGAAAATAAAACTTTTGACAATTTTGATATGAATTAAAAATGCAGGTTATTAAACATCTTTACAAATCAATTAGTGACAAAATAATTTGAAATCAGTTTTGAGTTAGAACTTTTTTCTTTTTTAGAATTAAAATAAAAGAAATAATAATTTTTGTTTATTACGTCGTTATATGGATTTTGGTTAAGAGATAACATAATTTATGCATAATATTTTTTCAGCCCCAACCATACGAATACGGTTATGAAACCAATGATGATTATGGCACCACCACCTTCAGAAAAGAGACTTCTGATGGAAAAGGCAAGGTTGAAGGCAGCTACGGATACAAGGTTTGTAAAGTCATCATTCTTTTACTGTGCGCTAAAAAAATTTAATTTTTAAAGTTAGGAATTTTAAAGGTTTATTGTTTTAAAATATTTACTAAAACGCGCTGTTTCGAAAATGTCCAGCATATTTAATTTCTTTAAAGTTAGAGATGCTCCATGTCCGTAAAAGGAAATCAAAACGGGTAGTAGAAACATTGCTGTATCTTTCTTCCGGAAGAAGGCTCAACACTGTAAAAAATAGCGATACTTTGGGTGCATTATCCGTAAAATCCATTGCACCGAAAAATCCATTTTTTCCTAAAAATATTATACCGTTAAAGCTGAAATATATAATAAAATATTATATACCAGGAAGCTGAATTTAAAGATAAGCTGTAGTATCATCTTTTCGTATTACAGTAATATGTATTTTGTATTTACAATAATGTTTATTTAATTGGTGTTATTCAGTGATTTTACTGTAATTATTGCGATAAAAATTTAAGTATATCAAGGTTTTTGCTCTGCATCAAGTTGCGGTTAAAATGGATTTTACGGTAAATTTTTTTTACAGTTTTAGATTCCGAAATTTTGCAGGGTACCTATTCAGTAAATATAAAAGTTTTACCCGTTAATAAGTTAATCTGTTTAGTTACTTTGAAGGAAAGGTAAAAATAAAATTTTCTTATTGCCATTTTTTCATTTTTTCCCGGTTAAATTACAGTATTGTTAAATGTATTAAATTATTTCAAACATTTTCTTAACCTTTAAAGTGTTTATTCTTAAAATGTGAATATTTTAAGCATGCCTACTGAAATTTAGAAAAGAAACTAACAAGAAGTTGAACGATGAACTATAATAAAAATAACAATAAATTTATAAATAATGAAAATAGTGATGAAATAAATATCATTTAATGCAATCAATAAAAACAAACATATAAATAAGTATGATAACAACTAGAATAAACTAAATTAGTTTCACGAAATTATTTTATTCTATTCCTTCCAGTGTTTATTTAAAATGGGAAAAAAATCATATTCTTATGAAAGAGAGATAAATAATGTACTTTTTCTGTACATACAAAAGCACGTTTCCAATAACGCTAAATTGTTATTTTAACATAGTTTTACACACCACACTTTAAGTAAAAAATAACTATTTTCTTCCTAATATAATGTTTATAGTGCATCAAAAATGAAATTTAACTTTTTGATTCAAAAACATATAAGTTTTTACACACAGAAAAAAATTTGAGTTATATAACCGGACAGAATAAAAGGGACATTTTTGGTTTAATAAACATATTCCGGTTAATAAAACTAAAATATACGAAACATAAACCACTCATTTAATACTTTCTCAATTCACACGGTACACAAAATTACAGTTTGAAAAATTCTGACTCTTATTTCCTCTTATTAGTAAAAAACGCAAAATTAACGCGTAAATTAAACCGAATAAATTGTTTAGAGTTATGCTCTCAGGTATCATGCTAAAATTACCAAATTTTATTACTTATTATAAAACCATATTTAATTATTCATTAAAAAAATATTATTCAGAAAAAATCTTCTTCAGAAAGCGCTTCAGAAAAAATTATCAAAATTTTCGGTATTACCATTGAATCTGAAACACGGTTAATTCAACCATATTCTGGTGGTTTTAACTGAACTTTTTTTTTCTCTGTTTTCATTAGACTTAAAAGTATTTTAAGATAGCTGCTTTAATTCAAAACTTAAAACCTGAAGCTAGAATCTTTTTACATAAATTGCTAAATATTACTATGATTATGTTTTAATTGCAATCTATAGTGTAATTATTCTTAATATCGAAAGATTAATTACTTTCAGTATGCTACCTAGATTATGAACGTTCTATATTCATCACCACACTAAGTTTTTGGTCAGAAAAATGATATATATTCCATTCCAATTGAAGAACTTTGCGGAAGAACTCTCTAATTGACTTTTAAAAAAAACTGTGTAAAAACAGTAGGAAGCTGTATTTAAGGATAAGTTGTATTATCATCTTTTTGATCGGAAACTCTCTTATTTAAATGTTTAGGATAATCAATTTATTTTCATCTCTTGGGGCAATATGGTGACATTGCTCCAAAAATTCGGGTGCTTTAACATAATATTCACTACACGCGTCAATTATAAAAACTTTTTTTTCTTTGTTTGTTTTTTTTTCTTCTTTAAGTCACACTTCTTTAAGTTTCTTAAGTCACACTCCAAGACAAGCTTCATTTGTATAATTTTTTAGGACCTCCATGGAATTGAACGAATTGTAGAATACGTCGCTGATGAGCATGGTTACAGAGCCCAGATCAAAACTAACGAACCAGGAACTGAAGCACAAAACCCCGCTGATGTTGAACTCGATGCCAAACCCATAATTGTTGAAGAGCCACCCAAGTACGCAGCCCCTGCATACTCTGCACCTCAACCACATTACTACCCAGAACCCGAACACTACGAACCACGAGTTCCCCACTACCCACGATATTAAGTACTACTTAAGGGGTTTCTCACGGCAGCTGAAGTACCTGATATTTTCTGTAAGTATTCACTTTTGTCATTTAACAGGTTTTAAGAAACTGGTGGTCATTTTTATTAGTCACGAAATAATGTCAGCGTTTAGACAAATGTCATTGTACACTTTAAGAGAAAAACAATAGCTAGCTAATAATTTAAATGCATGCTAGTAAAATTAGCAAAATGGCGTCCGAGCGACAAGTACAAGTTTGAGATAATGCCACCTTATGCTTTTTTTTTTTTTTTTTTTAAATTTTTAATTTTTAAATTTCCCAGTTTGATTTGAATAGCCAATCATGTTAAGTGATGAGCTGACGTCACTTGAATGTAATGATGGATCTCGATATTTTAAAAAAAAATGCAGACTCGGTAGATTTTACATCACTACTAATAGTAGAAATCATAATATTTGGTTGAAATTTTTTTAAACTTTAATAAACGTCTTCCTGTTTTTCTTTTTCTATTCAAAATACGGTGCGTTGATTACCAGTTTCGAAAGCATAAATCTGACAAATTAGCATTGTAACTCATTGAGGGATTTTCTTAACTGTAATTGTCTACTTTGAACTAAACTTTCTTTAAGAATTTGTTTTTAATTTTTAATTTTGTGAATGTGATTAAAAAGAAATGAGATTAAAAATAACTTCAGTTTTAGAAAAACCCGTGAAAAGTTAAACTATAATATCAGTACCTGAAATCATATTCAATGCTAATTTTATTTAACTTTAAAATGCTAAAATGAGCCCTATATTTAGATTAATTTAGTTTAATTTAACCATGATATTTTTTAAATCAAATTGAAAAAAATTTAATGGATATTAAGGATATCACTTGTCATCTTAACGTCGTCATCACCGTAAATTTATTTATTTATATATTTACATACACATTAATATATTTAAATATTTATGAAATATTGCTGTCTAATTTCTATTATGAAATATTCTGATTTTAAACTCAGTATAGATTAAGCTTTAAAAATCTATATAACTATAAATATTTTGTTTATGTGCTTCAATAATTCCTTTTGCATAATTATTTCAGATAAATAGAACTCTTATTTAATATTAGTTTAAATGATAATTTGGATCAGAATTTTTTGCAGCGATATTATCTTTTTGCATTGACTATTTTCATTCACTGATATAAAAAAATATTTAGCGGAAAGTATTTCATAAAATTATCTCTCTTTTTCATTTTAAGTTCATTATAATAATAAATAAGTATTAAAAGAGGAAAAAATTAAATTATGTGCTAGAATATTAAAACACATTATTTAATTAAATATTAGTTTAGAGATCATGGATTGTCTATTTTCATAAGACTGATATGAAAAAAAATGTTTTATGAATACCTTTTTGTAAAATTATTTCCTTTTTAATAATTTTAAATTCATTATAATAATAAACATTAATTAAGAGAAAAATATTAGAAAGAAAATATATAATTTATGTACTAGAATAGTAAGAAATATTATTTTATTAACTAATTTAAATTTCTATCATTACAGGTCTTTAGCCCTTCATGCTCTCCCTGCCTTTTCTTTATTCTCTATAAAGATTTTCTGAGGTTTTAGAAGTATGGATTTTATGGGTGGTGTACTGCTCTTCGTCTTCTATTGCTCTATGCTTTCCTTTTCCGTTTTCGAAAATATTTCCTTGAGGTGATGCATTTCTTGTCTGCAAACTCCATGCTCTACTCTCTTTTTTTATTTATTTCACAACTCCCCAGAAGAAATCAGCAAATTTTTGTTATGATGAACTGTATTTAATGTGAGCAGTGTGTTTTGTTTGTTTTGTATTATTTATTTTTGTGTGTTACGCAAATATCGAATTAATGTAAATGTCAAAAATAAATTTTTTTATGTAACGTTTAAAGTTTTGCTATCATTTGTTTTTGGAAATAACAGTACTGACTTTATTCTGCATACTAAAAATTAATATAATCTTTCACAGTGCGCTGCAACAAATTCCGGATCAAATTAAGGTAAAAAGTTCCAGCACTTTGGGTGCGTCATACTTAAAATCCGTCTTACCGTGAAATCCATTTTTATCGTTATATACTATACCATAGTTTTTTTCAATAATATTTATTTAATTAGAGTTATTGAGTGATATTACGGCAATTATTACTGTAAAAATTGTCTGTGATAGATGCTCAAATTTCACGAAACTTTCTTCGTTTTTGACGAAATCGTTTCCTAACACATACTCCGAGCAAAAATTTCGTCAAAGTGACAAAATAGCTACCGTCACTTCCTCGAGGTAATGAATCTTGTCAAAATTAATAAAATATTTCGTTATTCTATTTTTTCCAAAAGCAAAAAAAAAAGAAAGAAAGAAAGAAACTTGATGAGTTTACTATATCTAACTTTTCAATAATCATCAATTTTCAATAATCATTCAACAATAATTATCAAATAATTACGTTATCGTGGGCAGCATATCAGCGGATTAACGCCACCCAAACAAAATAAGTTGAACTGGTAGAACAGAGAGATAAAATACAGGCTGACCGGGAGTGGAATTCGAACCCGAGATCCTTTTGGTACGAGGATAATTCCTTGATCACCATTCAGTCCGATCGGCTAGGTTCGCGATTCTATTTTTTAAAACCTTGTCTTCCTTCCAGTGTCGTCATTTCAATTATCAATCTCCTCCAACGCACAGTGATGATATTCCGAATTAACGCAGTATTTTCGTCATATATTTGAGAGTTCACGCTTTGTCACAAATAATGTGATTTCGGGACGAAATGATTCTCAAAATTAACGAAATTCAGTTCAAGGATTGTAGAATCGTCAAAAGTGAGAGTTTATTTTCAAGAATGCCGGATTTTTCATTCCGCAATATGTTCAGGTAAAAATGGATCTTGCGGTATAAAATGCAACGGCACCCTGAGTGCCGGTACTTTTTACCGTAATTCGATCCAGAATTTCTAACACTGTGTGACATCTTAACCTGATTTTTGCAATATATCTTCTTGGCTTATGAACAGAACATGTTGAAGCGAAATTTGATTATCTTAAAAACAATTAAAAATTAAGAAGAGAAAATGTTTTAATATTTCAGGGCGTTAAAAAGCAGTTTGACAGTTTTATATCGAATCATTTCAATTTTTGAGTTTCATGCTTTTGTTTGTAACCGCTTGAATTTTTCACTATTTTAATTAGGGTTGTAAGTTAAGTCTTATTTTTTAAAATTTTTTTAATGTACATTAGTATCACATTCAAACACCCATTTTGAGTCTTACCATAGTGCAAATTTGCTATAACCTTAAGGTTCTAAGTTGATATACATTGCCGTGCAAGTTATTCTTAAACATTTAACTGTATATGGTTCAGCCTGAGTACAAACATGCTTTAATCTAACCAGCTTATTAAAATTGTAGCACTTTTAAAAAATAATACATTAAAAAAACTGATATTATTGTTTATTCTTGATCCAATTCTTAAGAGAATGTAGAGAAATAAAAATTAATCACAAATTAAAAGAATGAATAATTCAATTTCTGGCTTAAAGTTCGGATCAAATTTTGTCTCGAATTAAATAAAATAGCCAACTTACATGAACGCAACTATAAATTTAGATATTCAATGATGAATAGTGGTGATTTGTATTGCAGGATATTAAAAAATAAGAGTCGCTCTAAACTATAATCTTTTCACTGAGTAAAAAGCATTGTCAAAACTACCAAAATATAATAAAGTTTACCGTGTTTCAGGCTCAATGGGAATGCTAAAAACAGAGTAATTTTTATCGAAGCACTTAAGTAAAATTAACATTAAAATATGGCTTTATTACCATGCTGAAGTTCGATAATTTTAACAGAAATTTTTTTTCTCTGTGCATATAAAGAACTTCTTTAAACTTAGTTTTTTTTAATTTACTTTTACAATCTAGTTTAAAAACTGCTAGTTTTCAGTTTCAGTTATGAAAACTTATGGCACGAAATACTTGTTTCTTTCTCTCGAAGATATACAATGGATAGGGGGCGCAACAAAAATGAAAATGTTTCAATTTATAAAAAACAATAGTACGTGATAGAATTTTTTATAAGCTTTCATGAAATCAACTTTCAAAAATCTATCAAAATTAACCATTGATTTTTAAAAACTTTTTTTATTTTAGGTCAGGGTTATTCATAAACTTGCACAGGTGTAAAAACTTCGATAATCATTTCTTTGTTACTTGCGAAATTCAATTTAGAAGAAAAAAAGGATGTGGACAAAATCTTTGTGTTTATTTATTTTCAGGAAGAAATAGTATAAACAAATACGAAACTAAATTGAATATTTTTTAAACAAAGCATCTCTTAGGAAGCATTACGTTTGAGGAAGGGTGGGTTCTAGAATAAACACTATTTCGAAGGTGTTTGGCAAAAACACAATGCAAAAACTATTGTTTTTATTTAATTATATGTGTAAGTTATTTATTTGGCAGAAAAAAACTCCTGCATGACAAAAATTATTTATTGTTAGCGCATTAAGAAATTTCGAAGCAATAATAAACAAGCATTACTGAAATGACCTAAATTGAATTATATTGATGACTTTGTGCATGGTATATTAAAAAAACAATGTTATTTATTTATTGCTTACAAAATAAACCGAATGACGCTCCAGAATTTTTTCACCAAACAGTATTTTATAATTTTTTTTCTATCGGTCAAACGATTCATAGAAAATATTTGAAAAAAAGAATGTCATTTTACTATTTGAGGTAAATGAAGTTTATGAATTAGTGTTGGAAAAAGTTCCTTTTTACATTGGCTCTAATTTATTATATTGTGACACTTAAAATTTAATGTAACTATTGTCTTATTAATATATATATACACAGTCCAGTCACATTAATGTGACCACCACCTACTTTCGACGTCAACGTGAAATAATCAATCACAGAGTGCATGTGGCAGCACATTACAGTGTAGTGTATATATTGGATGTCGTAGGGCATCGAAAAGCATTTTAGTCGTTGGCGCAATGCAAAAACGTAGCGATTTATCCGACGTCCAAAAGGGCATGATTATTGGCTTTCGGGCCATATTTAAAAACTTGTTAAGNACGTGCAACTGTTGAGCAACTGACCGTCCAGATGAACCAAGGGGCTACCAAGAGTGTATCCTCAACAACTGTTCAGCGAACGCTGCTGCGCATGGGCCTCCGCAGCAGACGCCTGGTTAATGCACCCATGCTGACTGCTGTTCATCGGTGACGAAGGCTGGAATTTGCACGCCAGTACCGCAACTGGACGTCCACAGAGTGATAACAGGTGGCTTTTTCCGATTAATCACATTTTAGCTCCATGGGACAGGTGGACGTTGGCGTATACGGAGTGAAACGTCTGAAAGCAAACACCCTGCAACAATTGCCGGAAGGCTGCAGGCTGGAAGAGGGAGCGTTATGGTTTGGGGAATGTTTTCCAAGCATTCATTGGGTGCACTTATCATTGTGGAAGGCACTATGGATCAGTACAAGTACGTATCTGTCCTTGCGGACCACGTCCACCCCTACATGCAAATGATTTTTCCTCAGAATGATGGCATCTACCACCAGGACAATGCGAGGTGTCATACAGCTCGCAGTGCATGTGCGTGGTTCGAAGAACACCAGGATGAATTTACCGTACTCCCCTGGCCAGCAAACTCACCGGATTTAAACCCAATCGAGAATCTGTGGAACCACCTCGATCGGGTTGTTCGCGCCATGGATCCTCAACCGCGCAATTTAGCGCAGCTGGCCACGGTACTGGAGTCGGCATGGCTCAACATCCCAGTGAACACTTTCAGAAACCTAACTGACTCTCTTCCTGCACGTGTCGTAGCGGTTCGCTCTGCCAAAGGTGGTTATTCTGGATTTTGACAGGTGGTCACATTAATGTGACTGGACTGTGTATATATATATATATTTGAAATTTAATGTAACTATTAGTGTCTTAATTTTAAAATACTTTTCTTAATTAAGAATTCTTAATTAGATTCAATGGACTATTTATCTATTGCTAAATAGTCCATTGTCTTAGTGTCTAATTATTAATTATTTTAAAATGAATTTAAATTACCCTTAATTACAGATAAGCTTTCATGAATCTTCATTACTTTAAATATTTATGAAATTTAAAATAATTATTTTAAGTATAAGTTGTGGAAATATTATTATTTATTTTTAAATTTAGATGGTTTTTCTAAGAAAAATTTAGAAAAAAAACAGTAAAATTCAATAAAAGTAAATAAAAGCAACAAAAAAAATAATTTTTGATATTATTTTTTTCGAACTGAATTGAAAGAAAAATGTAACAATTTACAAATACTATGTGCAAAAATTACTTGCAATTATGCATCTATAAGACCAAAATTTACTCTAAAGTAAGTTTTTAAATGTGTAAATCCCATATTCAGTTCAACTCCAATTCCTATTCTCGCCACATTCTTTGCAGCACATAAACTGAGGGTCATCAAAGAACACTAATCGAAACAATTAATACCTGTCAATAAAATTGCTCCACATTAGGATAATTCATTGAAATTTTTTCTTCTCAATACATGACTGGAAACAAAGAAAATCAACTAAGAGACTTGTGAAACCCAATAAAAAATTTCTACCACTTTCTACAGACGCGCCCTTGTAATTGATCTCATTTTTATAGTTCTTGGTTTCATCTTTTTGGATGATATTTGGCATTGACCCTTTTAGAATCTGACATTGCCGGTAAAACGAAACAAAAAAATTGCTCATCGAGAGTGTGAAGATAGCCTCTTACATTCTTATACCATCCTTTCTTTATTTCACGCCGTAGGGCACTGCCAAATAAAATAGACGGCGATTTTTCCGAGGGGGCATCCTGCATTGAAATGATCTGGATGTTGCAAAACAATTTTTTGATGATATTTTATTTTTTTAAAAGGTATATAAAACGATGGTCTTTTGGTAAAAAAATATCATAACCTGTTGAACCAGGCATCAGGCAAGGAAGATAAGACGGTACACTAGTTCCTTATTTTGAGCTTGACATGGTTTTTAGAGTGAGTTATTTTCTCTTTCTAGTTTTCCTTTAGAAAACTCAAGAAGTATTAAATGCTTTATTAGATATATGAAACTTTTATAAGCTAAATTTTTGTAACACATATTTAAATGCATAAAAAATTTAAATTTGTGTGAGTTAATAGGTATTTAGTTTTTTTCTTCGTATTAATAATGATTTGATGCTCTTACTTTGTAAAGCAGATTAATAATAGCGTGTTTAGTTAACTATCATAGACACATAATATATATTTTTAGAGCTGAGATGCTTTAGAGCTTAGTATTAATTTAAATACAATTTGAAAGTTATATTGTTTTGGAAATTACATCAAGAATGAGTGAGGCAATTAGGTTACTTCAAAAAATTTCAAAAAATTTAATTTTTTTAAAATTAAAAACTAAAGAGTTAAGCACTGAGAAACAATGATCAAAACTAGCAAAATATTATAAAATTTACTATGTTTCCGCTCATTTAGGAACCCCAAATAACTTGAGTTTCGTGAAAGTAATAGTAAAATATATTTTTATAAGAAGGGATAAAATTCTGTAAATGGGGTAAAATTTGGTAATCTTGTCATGATGCCTTAGAGCATGACATAAAAACATTTATTAGGTTGAATTTGCTTTCAAGGTTACTAAATGTGAATTATTATATTTTTTATTAAATGTGTGGTATGAAGAGCCATAATGTTGAGAACGAAAATTTCCGGTAAACCGTTACCATATGAACAATGAACAAAAAAATTAGCAAATGAATGGTTTTAATACCGTATATTTTGATTTTATATTTCATTATTATGATTAGTATTTTTAACATAATAATAAGAATTATTTATTATTATTTTTTAAGCATCTATTATCTAATTATTATTTAAACATAATGGTTAGAAACATAATATCTGAAATTATTTTTTTAAACCAGAAATGTTATTACCATATAGTACAATAATTTTATCAGAATTTTTTTCTCCATGTGCACATTTAACTTTCTATAATTCAAATTTACATTGATTCATATAAGTAATTATTAAGGGTGCAGGAAATTTGCACAATAATATGGTTCAATGTATACCAGGCCTTCTGACAGAGTTTCGTCAACATATATGGACAAGAAATTAAACTAACAATCTCGAATCACTAAAATAGCACTCCGAACCTTATTTCTCAACTGTCTCTTAAACTATATAGATTAATTTAATATTTAAATTCTATAATTAAATAAAATAAAAACCAAACATTTATCCCCTTTTATTTTTGACACACTTTAGTACTTCCGCGAGAAGAACAATTACCCCTCCCTTCTTATTGTGTTTCTCAATCTATCAATTAATGAACTTTAACGATTAATAACGACTTTAAGAAATGAGATTTTTTTTTAGTATTCTTAAAGAAGAATATTTTAATCACACAGTACATTAAAATTTAATGACCTTTTTCCCAATATTTTATGTTTCGTTTAAGCGAAAAAGACCCCTTGTTCATTACATTCATGTTAATATCGTATTAAATAAATGAAAATCTGAATTTTAATAGGAATTATATTCTTTAATTTTAACTACCTGGCTGATAATAATATTTTCCGTATAAGCAATAAGGAACTTTGAGAGACATAAAAACAATCATTAAATTTGCAGTTAGTTTACCCAAAACAGTACAATGTACTAGATAGTTTCTTTAAAGAAGAAAAATAACGTTTTTTAAAAGATAGCTCTCGTCTGCTCTCATTTTAAATGATAATTTTATAAATTGTTAAAGTGAATAGTAAATTTCCAAAACTGAAAAAGATTCAGAATTTTAAAACTTAAGAAACTATGTAACAGATTATTCAACATGATAAAATTATCATCTTATCTTCAGCCTGATAAAATTATGTTACAAATAAATTATCCTTCAGAAAATGGAAATACATTTTTCAAATTATACTGTTTTGATTATATTATACATTATACTTGCTATTAGTTACAGGGTAAAAAATTCTGGAAAAATTCTCATTCTGTATGGTAATGACATTTGTGATGAAAAAAAAAACCCTTCTCGTTAATAAAGCCAAGATATACAGTATTTTAACAGTTAATTTGGTAATTTTTCCGTTCATACGATAACGGTTTACCAGATTTTTCTGTTTTTCAAAATTATAGCTCTTTTTACAAGACATGTAGTAAAAAATGCAAAACTGTATTGTGAATTTAACCAATTAAGTGGGCTTTTTTTTATGACGTGTTCTAAGTTATCATGATAAAATTACTCAAAATTTTGCCACATTCACCAAATTTGCCACATATTATAAAACAATAATTTATTGTTAAAGTAACCAAATTCATCACTAAAGTGCGACGTAGAGCTTCTTAGTGTTCTCATACAGCCAAAAATGCAATATATTCTACTATATTCTGGTAGTTTCGACCGTTCTTGTTTTCGTAATGTACCCTCTATATTTTAATTACTGATAATTAGTTTGTTTATTAGTGACTTTTTTATATTATACTAATTGGTAACTATTTTAGATATCATATGTGCTGAGGACTATTTTTAATAATTTATTTAAGGATAACTACTTTCTATATTATACTGGTAACTATTATACTTACTAGTGACCATTTTTAATATTTTACTTGGATAGCGTCTTAACATAAGTATATATAATTTTATTACTTTTTCAGAGATAGACTTTCTTTCTACTCTAGACTTTCCTTGATTCATTTAGCTTCGGTAATTTCGTTAATTTTAATTTCGTTAATTTCGTTAATTTTAGTTAATTTCTTTATTTATTTAGTTTCGTCCAACATTTCTTTCCCAACGTCTTAGAAATTACCAGAACTAAAAAGAATAATGTAATTGTAAGTTTTTATTCGTCAGTAACATTAAAGAAAAATGGATTCAACAAAAAAAAGTGACAAAAGCGTCGAAACTGTTTTTTAAAGCATAACCGTTACAATATAATAGAATTAAAATATAAAAAACTTAAAAAAAGAAAGAAAAAAAAACTGTTTTGTCAGTTCCGTTCTCGATCTGTCAAAAGAGTATGCTTTATTGGAGAAGTTGTTGGAGAGTGAAAGTTAAATGAGACCATTACATAGATCTGGAGAGTTAACCAGCTACTAACCTTGTTATCTCTAGTTGTAATCTGTTATATTGTCGCAATTAGGACGTCCAGTTTAAATCATCCTTTTTAGGAACATTGTCACTTGTAGACAAAGAAAAATGATATCCTTATATTGATAACCTATTATCGTTTCTTTCCAAACTATTCCTTTGAAATTTAATTTTAGCTATGGAGAAATAAATCACTTAAAATTATTTATAGAAGCCAACCAATGTTTTTGCAGTGGTAAGTTTATTTTAATTATGTAAATAAAAGTAGGTTTATGACAGATATTTCTGTTTTCTTCTTCCTATTATTTTATGGAAAATAAAACTTTGCTTTTTTTTGTTAGAAAGATTTTTAAGATGATGCATTTGAAAAAATAAGAATAAACTGAATAAACTCAATGAAACAAGTTGTAATCGTTGAATTAGTTGCTTATAGGAGTTCCGAAATAATGAAAAAGGATAGAATGTCAATTAATGTGAATATATATAAAGCAAATATGTTTTATTTTCTTGGTAAAAATAATTAAAATTTCTTTTAATCTAGAGTATTTGTTAAAGGCCGAAATATGTATTTCAAGTCTAAATGAATTTTTTTTCAGGAACAAGACTTAATGTTCGGTACGGGGCTACTATTTAATTATTTTCATTGATTTATGTCATAAATTTCTTTTATATGCTTTATAATAAATTTTCCTATTGAATTAAATTGAAAACTGATAGACAGCATTAAAATAATAAAAATAAAATGTAAAGGAAGAACTATAAGATAAATTATATAAATTAAAAAGTATTAGTTATTATGCGGGATAATAAAACATAATCATAAAATTAAAATAGTTTTAAATTTACTTATAAGGACACATATCATGTGAAAAAATTAATTCTCTTTCTCTTTTTTTCTCATGAACGAATAAATGAATAATTAAAAATCTTTTAGAATTATTTTCAGCCACGGAGGCATGACATATTTTTTTTAAATAAAATATATCGCTTTTTTGTTGTAAATATTTAATAGTTATCTTCAAATCAGTCAAGTTTCTTAATTTCACGCATGAAAAATTACAACGAAAAATAGCTCCATACTATTACAAATTCAATAATATTGTTAAACTACCAAATGTGAAAATAAATTACATTTTTTCCGAAAACTTTTTGAAGCTTATACACGCACTTAAACATACATTTTAAATAATGAACCTCAGTTTAAGAAAAAATAATTAAACTAATTTTTTATAGTTATTTATCGTGTTAAAAATACTTATTATACCTTTTCTTATAACACTTTAAAAACAGACAATTCATGTGACAAATTTAATGTAAATGTATAATATTTTTCATTTTCTAGTTAAAATTAATAACAAATATAAAACTTGCAGATATTCACATAAATGATTGTAACTAGCGTTCATAAAAGGTCATTCATATTCTGCCTATTACTGAAAATCTGAAATTGTGTTTTTTTTAATTTCAGATTCCACTTTTTGCAGCTTTGGTTGCAGTTTGCTTTTGTAATGCGCCAGATACTTTTAGAATAGATGGAAAGCAAAGCTTAGAAGAATATAAAGTAAGTACACGGAGAAAAAATTAATTACTATATTGTATGGTAATGACGTTTTTGGGCAAAAAGAAACATAATTTTAATAATAAAAACCAAGATGTACGTTATTTAGACTATTCACTTCTCAATTTTTCAGATCCTCAATTTATATATATATATAATACTGCCTCTTCCTCAATTATATATATATATATATATAT